TGTTCTTTGAACTATGTAGGAGACCCTAAATCTAAGCAAAGATCATCAGAGGTGTCAAGGTGCTTTTCTGTAAGTCCAACCCTTTATTTCTATCCTTTTCTCCTTAGGATTGGAAGTGAGGATAACAAGTTGTAACAGAAGTAAACTGCAACTAGACTAAATAGGGCCACTTACTCCAAAGGAGAATTCCGTTTCATGAAACTATCTAAAGGGAAAAATTCAATTTTCAGAAGTCTTGCAACTAGGAGTGGAGTATGGGAAGACTACTCCTGTGCTCCTGATTAGCAGAATAGAAACAAGAAAAGTGTCTGTTTCATTAAACAACCTGCTTTTTTTGCTGTTGTTGTTTTGTTTCTTTATCAGAAGTCTGGTGCTACAGAAATGTACAGAATTCATTTTTGTGAGAATTTTGTCAGAACTTGTGGATTGAAAACCTTATTTTTTGGTAGTCTTCAGTTTTGATTATTTGCTTTTCGTTGTCCTATTTCACATCTCCGAAATATGAAAGCTGGAGATAAATCAGTAATCATCGTATACCTGCTCCATGTTGTCTTTCATATTGTTTTGTAATCTGATTTAACATAAATATTTATCTATGTGTTGTAGTTAACATTGATCAATGGAATTACTCTAAATTATTTTAAACAGTTTTGTAAATAACATCTGAAACTTTATCTGGGATTATGGAATCTCATATTTGCATATGTCATGCCTTGATCAGACTAAGCTGTTCTTTGTTTTTTATAAAAGTGAGGTTATAAAGTGTGTAAAATTTTAAATATTAATGGAGTATTTAAATATTAAGTAGGTAAATAATCAAGAGCAGAGGGAACTGCAAAACCTGCAAAGGATGAATCTTAAATATTTCAGATAATCATTAGGTTTTCCGGTTCTATAATGGATATTACTACTACTAGAATATTCAGACATATTCTAGGTATTCTGCAAAGCATTAGAAACATAAACTTGTCCAAAACAAATAAATGTTTGCTAAAACAGAAGATCTCCTGTGATTCACTTGCTGGTCAAGACAGACCATGCTAATAATATTAGGAAAGTAATGAAAGAATATTTAGGTAAAAAGCTCTCCTGGGTGAAAGTATCAGTTTTGAGTTTGACATTTATCCTTTAAATGTGTAAGAGGCTCCACTGTATGAAGTGTAATGTGTTTTTTAAATAGTTAAATTCAACGTTTTTTGTCATTGTTTTCAATTTGTTGATGTCAGAACCTCTTATTTTCTGAGGTTTGTAACAGAGAAGAAAAGAAACAGAATCGACAAGTTAAAAGGTGTTAGTTAGTGTTAGTTAAACTAATGTTTATATCCTGTTGCAAGTTTTTTGAGGACTATTTTGTTTAGAAATTCTCTGTGCTTTATTTGAAAATGGAAAACACTTGTGGTGCTAATAATACATCTTTATCCCCACACTTGCAAAATTTTTTTTTCTTTGCCTCTATTTCTAGCTCTCCCCTAAAATGGGAAAGTTTGAATAGCAAATGAGAGAAGTATTCTTTTTCTGCTTCTCTGCTTGACTTTTTTTCTAGGAAGTTGCCTTTTGCAGCTCTTAGCAGTCACCTCCTGCCCACCTCCATGGGCTTGTGGACTAGGCTATGTCTCAGGCCTGCCTAATGAGAAGGTGATATTTCTACTGCATTTTTTATAGAGATGTCTGGTGTATTCATTCTGTCCTTTGAAGATGTGTATGGCTGTCTTACTGGGTAATTGAAATTCTGATTATATAACTTAAAAACAATTATATGCCTTTCTGTTACTTGACTGATACAAATACTGTGCAACTAAATAATTTTTCCACATTGCTGTTGAAATAGCATATAATTTCTGCTGCATGCATATTATCTGTGAAATTCAACAATAATTTTAATTATTTTCAGACAAATCTCATGTTTGGCATGATCATATGAAATTGCAAAACAAGGAGTACTGCTATGAGATGTATACATTTTTGCGAAGACTGGTTCTTCTCTTCTGTAAAGACAGGAAGGAAGACATTATGAAGTCCTAATTGTTTATTATACCAATATCTAATATTGTTTCCCGGTTACCAAACCAGCTCTTTGTGTGGCATCATACCTAAAGACCCTTCTTTCTAGTTGCTTCTGTAAGGAGCAAGAGTTAGGGCCATGTGTATATCAAATACAGTATATGATCTCACTGAATTGTCACCTATGTTACAGATTCCAGTTTTGACAATCCTAGACTAAACCTTCACTAAACTGAGGCATAACACAGCCTCATTTTTAAAGGCTATGAGTTCTGTACTCTTTCAGGAAAATACTGGCCCAAATTAAGAGATCAGGCTTAAACTCAAAATAAAATAGTGGAAGTATCTTTTTCTGTAACAGTCCTGTATCTGCCTGCACTTTTTCAAATGTTTATTTTAAATTAGGATCACAGAGTTGAGCTTTGCAGAACACTTCCTGAGTGAAAACAGGGTTACATCTTTCCTGATGGGTTTTTATTCATCTCTAACCAATAGGTGACATCGGAACTGGCACAGCTTTACAAGTCATTTCAGGGTTATAGTAGGTGGTGCAAGACTCCTTGCATCTTCAAGGAAAAGCTGATGTTAATGTTGTTAGTGATGTGAGCTCTTTTTCAAAACAGGATCTTTTGACTTACAGAAACTTATAGTGCAAATACTCTACTGAACATATGTTTAGTTCTGTGAAAACAAGAATATCTGTATGATAGAGCCTACTCTCAGTTCTATGGCTGTGTCTGCATGGATATTGTGGTTGTCTCCTATGTCCTTCTCTAACTGGCAGAAGGCAGAGATGTTTCCTACGCTCCTGAGATATCTTCCCTGTTTCAGCTGCCTTCCTTACAAGAATTTTTTGGTGATGCTGTAACCACAAGAGGGCAGAGATAACTAACATGGTGCTTCGTCGCCGGTTGTAGTGCAGAGTGCACATAATGTAGTCATGCTCTGAATGGGAAATAACTGTTAGTACCTTAGCTTGACTGTTTTGGAAAGCTTGCAGAATGTAATTAGATTAAGTATGCTGTTAGATATGTAGTCTTCATGTAAAAGTAATTTAATTTATCTTCATCTTTAATTATTACCTATGTTTGTGGTAATGAATCATGTTGTTAATAGTAGGACAAAATGTAGTTTTGTATTTAGTAAATAACACAAAATAACTGTTTTCTGTTATTTTCTGATTACATTTTGAAAGACCAGCATATTCTCTTTGTAGTAAGCTGGAGAAAGCACCTTTGGGTTTCTTAAGTTGGTATTTCATGCATATCTGTTTTACGGGGATACTAGCTTCTGACTAGTGCTGTCATGCTTCTTTTTGGCTATTTTTGTCATTGCACATTTTCACCTTCAGTTTTCTTGGAGGGGGGAATAAAGACATTCTTCTAATTGTTCATGAGACATTATATTACTGCTCCGTTTTACTGAATAGGTAACAATTCACTTGGCCATTTCAACAAGACTAAGGCCCGGTCCTGCCCTTTGCCCACACCAGCCCCACGCAGCGCCCAGGCCTGGGGCAGAGGGGCTGCAGGGCCGCGCGGCAGGAAAGGCCCTGGGGGGCTGCTCGGCAGCGGCTGGACATGGGCAGCAGGGGCCCCGGTGGCCGAGAGGGCCGAGGGCCTCGTGGCTCCTGTCAGGAGCAGGGTGGCCATGGAGCAGGAAGGGATCGTCCTCCCAGACTCGGCGCTGGGGAGGCTGCACCTCGAACACTGTGCTCAGGTTTGGGGCCATCACTACAAGAAGGACATGGAGGTGCTGGACCGTGTCCAGAGGAGGGCAACAAAGCTGCCGAAGGGGCTGGAGCAGAGACCGTGTGAGGAGCAGCTGAGGGAGCTGGGTTAGTTAGTCTGGAGAAGAGCAGGTTCTGTACACCCCGCATTGCTCTGTACAACTACCCAAAAGGAGGGTGTAGTGAGGCATGGGTTGATCTCCTAAGTAACTACAGAAAACAAGACAAGAGGAAATGGCCTCAGAATATGCCAGGGGAAGTTCAGGTCAGATATTAGGAAGAATTTCCGTACGGAACAAGTGGTGGAAGCCTTGGAACAGGCTGCCCAGGGAAGTGGTGGTGTCACTGTCCCTTGCCGTGTTCAAGAAATGTGTAGATGAGGCACTTAGGGACATGTTTTAGCAGGCAGGGTGGTGAAGGGCTAACTCGAATGATCCTGAAGATCTTTTCCAACCTTAATGATTGTATGATGCTAATCACACTGATTAGTAAATAGTCACTTACAGTGCTGGTGAGGGAAAAAACTTCCCTCTACCTTCAGAGAGGGAAAACAACTGTTAAGAAGGGAATGCTTTTAACCTAGCATTGATGGCAACACTGCTGATAATTATGTATGGCTTGGTCATAGTGTGCTGAATTTGCAGTTTAGCTCTACTTGTAGATCTCAGTTTTGAGTTGACTTTGAAATATTTTTGGATACTATTCTTAAGTTTATTTGTGGTGAAATAGCTGCTGATTGACGTTTCCTAGAAACCTGAGCTATAGCAAGCAATCCATGATTGTAAATTGAGTATAGGTTATAGACATATATTATAAAGATAATCTATTAGAAAGAAAAAGTTAACAAAAAAAGGTGATAAATTGCACACTTAGAAGATTATTGATACTATGTCAGTGAACATAAACAAGTGAATTGTATTCTTCCTGTTTTGTACTTAGATTGATGCTACCATTTGTGCTGAAATAAAAATTGACATTCTTTCTTTCAGTGTTTTGTAGCTTTTGTAATTTATTTTGTTTTTACTTTTACAAAATAATATATTGCTGATGCTGTTATTTCCACTTTTGGATCTTGTAGTTTGGTAAACGTTCTATGCATTGCAGATGTTTATTTATTTATTTACTTTTGGGGTTTGGCAATCTGTGCAAGATGTCAAAAGTGGTGAGAAGTTTTGTTTGTTTGCTTGTTTTGTGGAAATGCAAGCAGGATCATTCTTGTACTCTTTATACAAAGTCCGTAGTAGGTTGTTTTTCCATTTATGCATTTTAGGTGCCCTATCAGGAGCCAAAGAAAGCTGGGAATACGATTCAGGAGCAAGAGACCTTCAGAGTCCTGACATCCAGAGTCACTTAACCCTACAAAGGCTGTTAGCATATGGTGGAAGCAATGCCATACAACAGGCTGCTCTGCAGAGACTTCAATCTCAGACCTCAAATCTTAGCAGCTCTGTTGGAGGAAGTTTTTTAGAACTCGCCAACACTGTAAGTAAGAGGCATTTTGCCTCTGCTTTCAAAATTCTCTTGATTTTTTTTTCTTTCTCTTTTTTCTTTCTTTTGTTCTCCAGATCTAGCTTATTAATTCATCTTTTGAGCCTTTGGGGAAACAATGCCAGGCTGTTGCTGTCCTTCATTTACCATAATGCCAATATAATTTCAGCAGTTGATAGGTGTCTATCAGCATTGAGATCATAGGATAAATTCTAGTTTGGATGGACCTCAGTAGGTCATCTAGTCCAATCTTCTGTTCAAGAATTAATGAATAAAAGAGTTAATGTCTAATGTGGTTATTACTGGCCACTGGGAGAAATGATCTTTGCCAAGATGCAATATTTATATACCAGCAATAACAACCAAAAATCTTCTAAAATTGTTTTTTAAGATATGGTCAAAAAGCTAAAACTTGCTTGTACGGAGTAAGAATATGTAGGTAATACGTATCTAAAGAAAAAAAAGTGTTTGAAAAAGTTGATACTTCTTTAAAGGATCTATGTTCTATTTTTTTTTCCTGGAAGAATGGTGAGAGATCAACTGATGTAAATCATAGACTCTTTGATCAGAAAAGATGGGCAGAAAAATACTAAAACCAGAAAGAACAGAAAAGTGAGAGAGAGAGAACAGAAAATGAGTGCCTTGTATGCTTTTGTTGGTGGTTTAAAATTGTGAATTGCTCTGTTCATTTTGGATCTGGATTTTTCCTTAGGTTTTAAGGTGGGTATGTACTGTTATTTCTTCTTTTTATATTCTCTGGACTGATGCTGATTCAGAAGAGATCAGCTTTGTTAATTTATTGTACAATTGTAAATATGAAGATATAGGTATGTTGTGTTATTCAAGAATGCAAAGAGAGAATGCTATTACATTGCTGTGAATGTAGAAATCTTAAAAAGCTGAATACTTGCAAGGAATGAACATCTCCAGGTATTATGTCTTTCTCTTAATTTTTATCTCCAAATTGCTTCTTTAGTTACTGCTGTGATAAGTATGTGATCTTTATTTTAACAAACATCTGTCAAGCTTCTGCTTTTAAAGATTCTTTCTATGGTCTTTCAAACCCTAACACAATTATCAGTCTCTCATTTATATGTAGATGACTGCAATAATGTCTCCATTTGCTTCCTGCTAAGCATGGTGTCATGAGTCATATGGAAATATTTTGCTTTGACTCTATTGAGAAAATAAAGAACGAACAAGAAAATTTTGCTTTATTTTCAGTGTATTTCAATTTATTTCATTTACACTATTCTTAATACAGAAGGACATGCTTATGGCAGTCTGAATTTACACTCTTTAATGAGACAGATGAAGCCTTCTTAAAGCTGCAACTTATTATGGATTTATTTACTAAAATATTTGCCTTTGCCTTGACATATCACTGCTTACTGATGATATACTTGTTAATGCAATTTGGTTAAATACTATAGCACATATCTCTAGTAGGAACCTTTGTGTGTGTTCCAGGTAATCATTTATCAGTTTCATTTTTATTACTTCTGATTATAAATAATTAGCTATTTTTCTTGGGTGGGAAAGAATTCCAGTATTTCAAAGAATTAAGTCAGATATTTGCATGTTTGGGATTTTTTTTTTGCTTGTACTTGAAAGTTCAAAGTTTGATATGAATTGTGAAGGTGAATAGTCATGTAAATGTAGCGAAATAATTGATTTGTGCAACAGCATCTGTTTACTTCCCAGGAAGCCAGACAATCCTGATTTGTTCCCTGTAGTGCTATCAGGAGGAATAGCGCTCATTTCTAGGAGATAAAAGAACTACATTTCTCTGAAAACTTCACACAGGGCAGCATGTATTTACATGAGAATTCCAGTGGAGTTTCATGAGCTGAAACAACAAGATTTGAAAGTGTTTAATTCTCTTTCACATTCTGCTTCTGCCTGGTTGTAATAGATTGTGTTCTTTTAAACTTTTTAATTTGTTGAGTAGAATATATATGCTATTGGTTTGTTTTTACATAAGTGTTCATCCATGTTTGTGTTCGTACTATTAGTTTCTGTTGTCGTAATTCAGCGTTGCTAAGATGATAGATTCATAAGTGTTGTCACAAATAGCTACATTTACACATGTAAATCCAATTGGTATGGTTTGATTTGGCATGATGACATGATTTCATGCCTCTCTTCTGCCAGCTGTAAATAACTGTTTTGTTCATAAAGTCGGGGCACACAGATCTTGTGCTTTGAAATTGTGACCTCAAGTTTCCCCATGTGTTCAGTATATGTCTAAGTTTATTTTTTCTGTCCCATCTGTGATCTGGTTTGGTGCAGGATCCTTTAAGCTCTGGATACTTCTTTCCAAAGACGCTTTAGCTGTAGCGTAAACTGTTGGACAATATCTACTCTCTGTGGCCCTTTTTGATTGAAAACATTCAGGAGTAATTGATTTGGGAAGGGGAGGAGTACAGCTATATTTTTGACAAGAATGTGGGATGGGATTCTTTCATGCCTGTTTGCTTATGGAAGCGGGTTTCATCTTTAGATGAGGTTTCATCTTTAGAGCTTTACTATGAGTGCCGCGGATTTTCTATTGTTACTAACATAGAGAGGGGTGGATTTGCAGTTTTCACCATTGCATCCTGAACAGCTTGTTATCCTGGCCAATGAATAAGGTGGTGCAATCCTGCTTACCTTGTGCAAGGTTCTCAATGCCGATGGATGTGTTTAGGTGGGAGACATTGGCCCAGATTGCTCCAGTTGCCAAATCTGCACTCTCTTCTCATCTGAAGGAAGGAGATTGTGAACTGCCTCCATAGAGAAAATAAGAGAAAGCTAATGCAGTGAGATTTCTGATGTATCTTCTTCTAACTGTTCTGGAAAGCAGCCTTCCTTAGCTATTACTGTCATATTTGCCTGTAAGTGATCACATTTGGAACTATTAAAGACTTCTAATGAGCTTTGGGAAATGGCTGTTTTTATCCTGTATTTATGTGTGACAATATTTGTTTGCTTTCCAGTGGAATTAAGGTGACTAAATCTTGCTTAGTTCTGACTGTGAAGATTCTCATTTGGGTATCTGATCCAAAAGTTTATAAAAAATGAAAGTAACTGGAAAGTAGCATTTTCATAGCAAAGCAGTATGTAGATGCTTTTGCATTGACTTCTTATCACTGATAAGGTGAGAGCTTTATGTCTTTTTCTTAGGAAGAATCATGTTTTCTGAAAACACATATTCTTACTGTGGTGCTGTTTGTTAGGCTCACCACATTGTTGATTTCTTCCTCTTTAAGACCGTTGACTTGGAAGTTACAACAGACAGAACTTTTGTTTTGTGAAAGCTATTTTTTTAGTTGACATATATTATATTGAATGGTAGTACTTCAGAAATCACTATTTTTTTCAGAGACAGATGGCTCTTTCTTTCCCACCTGGAAGATCTGCCCCTTAGTCAGCCAAACCTAAATTGCAGCGGTCTATTTATATAAATAATTTTTGGTCATAAAATAGCACACTTAAGATTATCCCTAATTGCTGTGTTTATTATAGACAGATGAATTTGGATAACTGCCTTAAACAGAATCAATTGGCTATTTTCTGCTGAGTCATGAATAACAAACATTTGTCTGCACAGAGTTGTGTATAACTTTAATAACTACTGTAAAATTACTTGGATGTAAGATGTAATGATTCCCTGCAGTATCTTAATATATTAAAATGTATGTAATGCTTTAGAAAGAGAATAATATGAAGATAATATGGATATTGGCACTGCATGGGGTTTATTTTATTACTGAAAACAAAAGCCCTGAGGCATTTACCTCCCCTTAAAGTTTTAAACCTCGTATATGTACTGTGTTTTTTAAACTATGCTAGTGGTTTAATTTTAACGAAGCTGATGAACATCGGTTTTAAAACTGATGCCTTAAATATAGGAAGCATTGACTGGTTGCCAAAGAAAGCAAACACTTTTATGGGATCGGATGGAGATTTCTTAGGTATTTATGACTGCAAGAAGACTTGCAGATTCTGTGACTTGAAGATTCTGTGACTGTCCTTTTTGGTTCATTTAAGGATTACTCAGCAATCCTAAATTTGAATCATTTTCTCCATTGTTTAATTTATAGCCATTGATTATAAAATTGGAGTTTTACTGAGTATGAGTTTTATTTAAATCATACACATATTCCTTTGGAGAGAGTATTTCTTACAAAAAGTGCCAAGAAAGCCTGACAGTATACTATGAGAGTTAATTATGTGATTCATTTGCAGATTACTTTTGTTTGGTTTCTTTACTAATGAGAACTGGGTTAGTGTCTCATTTCATTTCTGAGGTTTTAATGATTTTATAACTCAGTAGTATTTGTACTTTTTCGGCAAAGTCTGCTCTGTTGTTCTTTTTCTCCATCTCTGTATCTCTTCTGTGAGATAAATCAGAATTCAGTTACTTATGCACAGACTGTTTTTTCCCAGATTATCTTGTTGAGGAATCCTATATTCTGTTTTACATTCAGGAACCGGTGAACTGTGTTACCTTAAACTGCTGGAGCCTTGTCTCTTTCACTCCTTCCCCTATGCTGATTTGTTTTCCATGGGATAAATGCAGTTGTTACTACAACTACTATTTCATTTCAATATGAGCTATTACTGTAAAAGGTAATTTAATGATTCTTTCAACAGAAACCTTACTAGGTAGGGAGGTCTGAAGTTGAATATGATCTTAGCAGTGGTGCCTAGTCTTCATAAAATATTTGTGCCCAAGATAACTTGTCTGTTGTGCCTTTGCTTCTGAGCTAGACATCATTTCCATTCTGCCAGGTATAAAATGGATTGTGAGGATTCCATTAAAGTGAAAATTGATCTTAGGAATCATCTGTCTTGGCTCAGAAAGGAGGTGTAAAATTGGTTTTGTTTCACAAGCAGTTGTATATTTGGGGAATGTGGGAAACTCTCAGTCTTTGATTTCAAGATAGCTTTGTAAAGGAGTTTATTTGGGTGATGACACAGGCATTAGGTGTAATAAAATTATGCATTGT